AAACTGCCATGAAAATGTCACATGGAAAAATTCTTAAAATAGGTTTTAAATCAGAAATAGGTTTCAAATTCAACAGATTAAAAATTTTATTAAATTTTGCATAAAGAAAGTAACGTCCATTTTTTGGCCCAGGTCACATTACAGCCCAAAACCGAAAGAAAAAAGTGAAATTATATTTTGCATTAAAAATTAAGGCTATTTTAGGACCATTAAGATTTTCTACATTTTTGTCATTATTTTTCAAGACAATTAGTTTGAGCTCCATATTCTCACTATATCATACTATATGAGCCATAAAAACCTGATGTATCGAATATGATACTCAACAAAAACACACATGTAAAGTTCTTGTTTTCGTTTCAGTCTAAAAGTTTGATTAAAAACTATTTTTCTGACAATTATTTCATACATCAGGCTTTACAGTTTCAAGAAAACTCTTCGGAGTGCTTCCAGTAAGTGGCGTAAAGTCGACAAAATCCTCACAAAACTTGTCAAGAAACCATGTCAGGATCATATTTCATCCCAAAATTAAAAGAAATAAAAACAGAAAGGCTATTCTTTTTTTTATATACTGTAAAATAAGAAAATGAAATGAATTATCATAAAAATGTCATGGGAAAAAATCTCAATGTTAATTCTAAAATAGGTTTTAAAATAGAAATCCTCAATGAGGAATTTCAATGAGGAAAATGTGAATGAAATGAACTGTCATGAAAAGGTTTAAAAATCAACAGAAAAAATATAACATTACATTTTGCATGAATAAATAAATAAATTAAATTTTTGGGCCCAGGACATATTTCATCCCAAAAACAAGAGAAAAATATAGAATTTATATTTTGCATTAAAAATTGAGCCTTTTTTAGGACCACAGATATTTTTACATTATTTTTGACATTATTTTAAAGTACATTTAAAAAAATATATATACCTGAAAATATACTACTTGTTTTGATTTTGGGGGTGAAATGTGTGCTAAACATGTTTCTGTTAGATTCAACAAGTTATCAGCTCAAAAATAAAGATTTATTTAGCCTTTAAATTATTGTTTTTTTTTTTTTGTGAAAATTTCCTGTCTTTTGGCATTGATCAAATTAAGAGTCAAGAATGAGACGCAATGCAACACGGTTGATGTTACTGTCGGTTCACTCTTCTAACTGGGAATGGAAAGTCATGCATTGTATTTCACTGTGTACTTTGGTTGAACTCTGCACATTTTGGCAAATGTAAAGTAAGTAAGTAAGTTTGGCAAAGTAAGTGTTTCATGCATATAGAATATTAAGCACAGAATACACACTGTATACAACTTTCTTTCAAAAACTAGTAGGTAGTATGCCATTCTGAACAATTATATATTTGAACTGTAATGAAATCAACAAAGCTGTTAGTAACCCATTATGTTGTGTTTGTAGGGCATCTACACCCAGAAGAGGGTCGACCCTCAGAAAGTGAAGGAGGAAGTCGTGGATTTTGCTCGTTATAAGTGGCCTTTGTTATTCTCAAGATTCTATGAGGCCTTTAAATTTTCAGGTATGTTTTTTTTCACAAATGATGTCACATTAATATTGCACAACGTTTGTGCGCTGTATGTTTACAGATGGGTGTTTATGCTTAGCATATTGTGTTTCTGAAGGTCCTAGTCTACCCAAGAATGACGTGATCGTGGCTGTAAACTGGACTGGTGTTTACTTCGTGGATGAGCAGGAGCAGGTTCTTCTGGAGCTTTCTTTCCCGGAGATCACTGCTGTGTCCAGCAGCAAGTACGGCTTTTCACAGAGATTCATTTGGAAGTTTTTTTCCACATGATTTGAGCTTTGAAGCTAAAAGCCTCTGTGTTTGTCAGAGGAGGGAAGCATCAGGCCCAGAGCTTCACTTTGGCCACCATCAAAGGAGACGAGTACACGTTCACCTCCAGTAACGCAGAGGACATACGGGACCTGGTGGTCACCTTCCTAGAGGGGCTCAGGAAGAGATCCAAGTTTGTTGTGGCCTTGCAGGACAACCCCAGTCCAGGTTAGAGAAAAGGACGCAAACACATCATATCAATGGACCTTTATACTTTTGCTTTCGCTTAAATGGGTGAATCTCACTAATGCATGGCCAGATTATATTTCAGCTACTACCAAAAGAAAAAAAAAAAATTTTTACATAAAGAGGCGTATTTTAGGGCCTAGGCCATTTTTCAGCCTAAAATCAATAGACAAAAATATGAAATTATGTTTTGCATTGAGAAAATGAAGTCTGTTTTAGGGCCCATATTTCTGCCTAAAATCTAAAAAAAATAATAAAAATTTTTGCCTAAAGAAAAATAAAACCTATTTTAGTGCTCAGGTCATATTTCAACCTCAAAAGATCAAAAGAAAGAAAATTAAGAAATTATATATTATATTATATTGTATTATATTATATTATAATTTATATAATATGTATGCATGTATGTATGTATAAGGCCCAGATCAGCCCAAAATCAAAGAAGAAAATATAAAATCATATTTTTCATAAAGAAAATAAATCTTATTTTAGGACCCAGGTCATATTTCAGCCCAAAATCAAAATTAAAATAATATGAAATTATATTTTGCATAAAGAAAATAAAGCCTGATTTTTTTAAGGCTCATGTCAGCCCAAAATTAAAGAACAAATATGAAATGTAATTTTTCATAAAGAAAATAAAGGCTATTTAAGGCTCGGATCGTATTTCAGCCCAAAATAAAACAGAAAAATATACAATTATATGTTGTATAAAGAACATAAAGCTTACTTTAGAACCATTATTTTAAAAATATTTTTCATGACAATTAAGCACATATTTAAGGAGAAAAAAATTCAAATTCACAGTATAAAATATTAATATTTTTTATTTATTTTAATTATTAATATATATTAATATAATAATACTATTATTATAAACTAATGAATTTCCCTGTCTGGACACAATACTTTTTGTCTGAAAATCAGAATTTAATTCTGTTTTTTAATAACTCATTTTAATTTGGGATGCTGCAGAGTTAGTGTCACTTACAGCCGTTCTCTTCTTTCATGTAATTCATTTATCCTGATCAGCCGGCGATGATTCAACGTTCCTGAGCTTCCGGAAAGGTGACCTCATTCTGTTGGACCAGGACACAGGCGAGCAGGTCATTTGCATTGAGAAAATGAAGTCTGTTTTAGGGCCCATGTCATATTTCTGCCTAAAATATAAAAAAAAGAATAACAATTTTTGCCTAAAGAAAAATAAAACCTATTTTAGTGCTCAGGTCATATTTCAACCTCAAAAGATCAAAAGAAAGAAAATTAAGAAATTATATATTATATTATATTGTATTATATTATATTATAATTTATATAATATGTATGCATGTATGTATGTATAAGGCCCAGATCAGCCCAAAATCAAAGAAGAAAATATAAAATCATATTTTTCATAAAGAAAATAAATCTTATTTTAGGACCCAGGTCATATTTCAGCCCAAAATCAAAATTAAAATAATATGAAATTATATTTTGCATAAAGAAAATAAAGCCTGATTTTTTTAAGGCTCATGTCAGCCCAAAATTAAAGAACAAATATGAAATGTAATTTTTCATAAAGAAAATAAAGGCTATTTAAGGCTCGGATCGTATTTCAGCCCAAAATAAAACAGAAAAATATACAATTATATGTTGTATAAAGAACATAAAGCTTACTTTAGAACCATTATTTTAAAAATATTTTTCATGACAATTAAGCACATATTTAAGGAGAAAAAAATTCAAATTCACAGTATAAAATATTAATATTTTTTATTTATTTTAATTATTAATATATATTAATATAATAATACTATTATTATAAACTAATGAATTTCCCTGTCTGGACACAATACTTTTTGTCTGAAAATCAGAATTTAATTCTGTTTTTTAATAACTCATTTTAATTTGGGATGCTGCAGAGTTAGTGTCACTTACAGCCGTTCTCTTCTTTCATGTAATTCATTTATCCTGATCAGCCGGCGATGATTCAACGTTCCTGAGCTTCCGGAAAGGTGACCTCATTCTGTTGGACCAGGACACGGGCGAGCAGGTCATGACATCCGGCTGGGCTCACGGGATCAACGACAGAACCAAACAGAGAGGAGATTTCCCTGCAGACTGTGTTTATGTGCTGCCCACAGTCGTTAGACCTCCGTCTGATATCGTGGTACTGATATTATAATATTATGTTCAGCTGCAGGGGGCGTTTCATATTTATTATTGCAGTCTTTTATGAAACCCTCTCACATTCTCTGTCCTTGTCTCGCGTTCTCTCTCTTTTTTGCCCTCTCGACGGCTATTCTTTTTTTGCACGGCTCAGGCTTTGGTTACCATGACACCAGACCAACGGCAGGAGTCGATCCGGATTTCCCATGTTCCTGTAATGGAGACGGAGGAGAGGATGAAGCCGTACACGCTGGAGGAATTCTCCTATGACTACTTCAGGTGAACGACCCCACTTCTGATGCCACATTGTCCCCACACCGTCTCAAATAACAAAATACATGTCAATTATGTATATATAGGGACACCATTCATGTCTCTACACCATCTGTGTTTGCATTATGAAAATACATGTAAATCGAATAAATTAAATAAAATTAAGAAGAGAATTAAATTCTGGTTTATAGAAAAAAAGTGTTGTGTCCAGACAGGGTTATTTATTATTTTATACAGAGAATGGGATTTATTGTTATAAAAATATGACAAATATAAAACATTGTAATGGTCTTAAAGTGGGCTTTATTTTCTTTATACAAAATTTAATTTTTATATTTTTTTATAATAAGTAAATTAAGCCTATTCTAAGGCACATGTCATATTTCTGCCTAAATTCAAGATAGAAAAGAATCTGTGTCTGTATATTTCTGTATAATATCTTGATGTTTAAAGTAGTAAAAAAAAATTTAATTAAGTTTTTATAAATTCTGATTTATAGAATAAAAAGTATTGTGTCCAGACAGAGTTATTTATGAATTTATAAAATATTATAAAATATGATTATTATTTTAAACATAGAATGAAATTTATTCTCATGAAAAATAATGACACAAATATAGAACTTAATGGTTTTAAAATATGCTTTCTTTTCTTTAGGCAAAATAAAAAAAAATCTATTTTTTCTTTCTTGATTTAATGAATAATTATAATAATTAAATAGGCTTAATTTTCTTTATGCAAAATGTAATTGAAGCCTATTAAATGCCCATTTTAAGGCCCATGTCAGCCCAAAATAAAAGCTTGTTTTTGAACCCATGTCATAGAAGAAAGAAATAAAAAGAGTAAGAAATGTATATTTTGCTTAAATAACATTTTATAGAAAATAAAGCCTATTTTTAATAATATGCTTTTCAATAATAAAATAAATGTAAATTGAGTAAATTAATTTCCAATCTGGATTGTTGCTAGCATTCATTATTTTATTTTATTTTATTTTATTATTTTATTTTATTTTATTTTATTTATGTAAATTCCACCCTGTTCTTGGTCTTATTGTGCACGATTCATCAGTTCATGTTCTAAGGAAAATAATATTTGACTTTACAAAAAAAAACAAATGTAAGCAGTCATTTAATACACATAATTAACTCATGCAATTGCATATGTGTTTTGACCCTCATTGACCCTTGACCCTCTCCGCTCATCCAGGCCTCCTCCCAAACACACGCTCAGTAGAGTGATGATCACCAAGAACCGCGGGAGAGACAAACTGTGGTGCTGCACACGAGAGCCCATCAAACAGGCCCTGCTGAAGAAGTGTGTGGGCCATGAGGAGCTTTCCCAGGAGGCCTGCATGGCTTTCGTTGATATCCTTCAGACCTGGGATACATGGATGATGAATGCGTCCTTGTGACTGATTGTGAAGTGCTGAGTGAGCCATCTAGAGATTTCATTTTATGTTGATTTTGGGCTGAAATAGGCTTTATTTTTTATGCAAAATATAATTTCATTATCTTCGTTGATTTTGGGTTGACCTGGGCCCTAAAATAGGCTTTTTATGCAAAACATAATTTCATATATATATTTTTTTATTTTGAGCTGAAATATGATCTGGGCATTATATCAGCCTTTATTTTCTTTATGCAACATTTTTTTTTATGGGCTGAAATATGACCTGGGCCCTAAAATAGGCATAATTTTTAAAGCAAAATAAAATTTCATCTTTTTTTTTTGACTTGGGGCTTAAAATAGGCATTATTTTCTTTCACCAAAATATAATTTTGTATTTCTTCTAATTTTGATTTGCTATTGAGTAACGTGATTTAATTTGTTTTGAGTTTAAACTCTAGAAGTTCATGGATATTATCTTCTTTCTGATTGTTCCTTGACCCACTCTCCTGCACCTATAATGAAATATATGGGCGATTATCCGTCCAAGCGGACGCGGTCTGTGAATGAGCTCACAGACCAGATCTTCGAGACTGCGCTGAAGGCAGAGCCTCTGAAAGATGAGATCTACTGCCAGATCATCAAACAAATGACTGAAAACCATGTCAAGTACGTCTCTCCTTTACGTTTATAGCCAGACGCTGTGATTTCTGCCAGTATGCACTACCATTCAAAATTTTGGGTAGGATGGTTAAATATTTTTGGCGATTAAAAAAACAGTTTTCTGTTTAAATATATAGTAAAATGTAATTTATTGCTGTGATCAAAGCTGAATTTTCAGCATCATTACTCCAGTCTTCAGTGTCACATGATTTTCAGAAATCATTCATGATTTGCTGCTCAAGAAACATTTCTGATTATTATCAATGTAGAAAACTGCTTCATATTTTTGTGGAAACTGATACATTTTATTTTTCAGGATTCTTTGATCAATAGAAAGTTCAAAAGAACAGCATTTATTGCTGTGATCAAAGCTGAATTTTCAGCATCATTACTCCAGTCTTCAGTGTCACATGATTTTCAGAAATCATTCATGATTTGCTGCTCAAGAAACATTTCTGATTATTATCAATGTAGAAAACTGCTTCATATTTTTGTGGAAACTGTGATATATTTTCTTTTCTTTGGCGAATAGAATGTTAAAAAATGCTGTGTGTTTGTGCAGGTACAGTGAGGAGAAGGGCTGGGAGTTGCTCTGGTTGTGTGCCGGTCTCTTTCCTCCCAGTAACGTCCTCTTACCGCACGTCCAGAGGTTTCTACAGTCGAAGAAACATCATCCGCTGGCTTCTGACTGCATGCAGAGACTGCAGAAAGCTTTACGGTGAAAACACTCCCTCACCACACGTACATGCATTTAATGTATCAACAGCATATTTATATTGCAAAGATACTGCCATCTGAAGTAGAATATACCATGAAAAAGAACTTTTGCACAGACTTCTTAATATGCAGAAGATCTTTTAGTCCAATCTATGAATTTATTTTGTATTATTTTCTTTTTCTTTTCTTTTTTGTCAGTTTAGAAAGGTTAGGGACTTATAGCTGTTTTCTTCCTTCATGTAACTCATTTATCCTGATCAGCTGGTGATATTTCACTGCTTTTGGGTGCTTTTGGAGAAGAAAAGACATAATAAATTCTTAATTTGCTGCGTTTGTATTTTTAAGACTTGAAATGCACATTAGGCTTGCCGCGATAGACGGTGGTGACGGTGAAACCGGTGTTAAGCCGCAACACCGGTTATGTCACTTGCCCACCTCAGCACCGACCCCCACCGTCGTTTTGATTTTTTATAGCAATAAAAATCATTTAAGTGGGAAACTTAAAGCCCAGAGTTTCTGTCTGGACCTTTCAGTGTCATTTACAGTAAAACTAGCTAAGTTACCTATACAAAATACAATAGTATTGTACAATTATGATAGAATGCATAATGATTTGATTTGCAATGGCTTCTTAAACAAAAAAAATTAAAACATGTAGCTCAAAGGAAAGCATGGCACTAGCAACACCAGGATCATGGGTTTCGGTTCCAAGGGAATGCATGAACTGATAAAATGTATACCTCAAATACAGTGCAAGTTTGCAAAAAGATTTGCAAAAGCAAATGCATAAATGTAAACATGAAAAAAGTAAAAACACACCTGCTGTGCATTCTTTGTTCTTCCTTTTGTAGATTGGTTTTAGTTTATTTTGAATGAAGAGATTGTACCACCATCTTGCACCAAACAAAGTGACTTTCTGTCACTTCCGATGATGTAATTACGACTCACCAGCTTGAGCTTGAATGCACCAGTGCTCCTGAAATGACTCTGTTCCTGAAGTGGAATTACTCATCTCTGTCTGAACCGCTGGATGCTCATAATCAAGCAGTTTGGTTTTGACGTCATGTCCTCTTTATCTCTTTCACCCTGTTTTTCTGTTCTTTGAATGTCACTCCATTCTGAGCTCTCAGTCAGGAGGACTCTTTAGTCGTGATGTTGTGAATGTGAGTGTTACAGTATGAATGGCTCATCACGGACGCCGTATGCTTGCTTGTGTGCAGGAGCGGTTCCCGCAAGTATCCGCCGCACCTTGTGGAGGTGGAGGCTATTCAGCACAAGACCACACAGATCTTTCACAAAGTCTACTTCCCCGACGACACTGATGAGGTGAGGCAGACCTGCATATGCTTATGACTCATCAAACATATGGAGAGCTTGATTTTTTGTACAGTAATGTGATTCGGAGGTGACACTGATATAGTGAGCTTCAACAAAGACATTTTTATGAATGTATTTATTTTGTTAGAACGATAAAACTTGAAATAAAATGAATTAAAGTAGAAATAAATTAAAGTAGGTTTCAACTAAAATGAAAACCATAAATAAAACATTTTTATTACTTGAAATAAAATAAACATTAAATGAAATAAAGTATAAAAAAATTAAACTTGTTTTACTTCAAGTTCTGAAATAACGAACACTAAATAAACTAAAACCAATAAATAAAAATTCATAAAAACTATATTTAAAAATAACTATAAAAATGACAAAAACACAACAAAATAACTAAAGCTATAACTAAAATTAAAGTGAAAACATAAAATCTAATTCAAAATACTAACAGAAACTGTAATTGTATATCAATGATACTGAAATGACATTGAATAAAAGCTTCACATTTCTACTTTTAAATCCTCCCAGAATATGCCCTTAAATGGATAAAATTAAAGTAAATTAATAAGAATGAATTGAAAAAAAATATTTTTAAAAATCTGTTTTATTTCAGCTAGTTACTAAGGCAGCATTTCTCATTTTCACTTAGGTTAACATGAAGTACCAAAATAACTAGAACTAAATAAACTAAAACTAATACATAAAAATGAATAAAATCTATATAGAATTTTTTTTTTAAACGAATAGAAATGACAGAAACAGAAAATAAACTGAAAATATAAAAATAAAATCTAATTCAAAATATTACCAGAAACTATAATAGTATCAGTGTTGCTAGAATAACACTGAATAAAGCTTCACATTTCTGAATTTTCAACCCTCCCAGAATATTCCTTGAAATGCATTTGGGAGTGTTTGACACAGCTTTGCGGTTCCCGCTGTGTGTTTCAGGCGTTTGAGGTGGAGTCCAGCACGAAGGCCAAAGACTTCTGTCTGAACATCTCCGGCAGACTGCTGCTCAAATCACCCGACGGCTTCAGTCTGTTTGTCAAGATCTCTGATAAGGTAAAAATCACACAGTGAGCCAGAGCATCGTCTTTGGGCAATGGGGTTTTGACAATCTAGCACATCTTTCTGGACCTAACCCAAGCTTAACCATTAACTAAGTAGGTTATGGGTTTAGAATAATATGGGATTCCTGTTATTTTGTCTGTGTTTGTGTGTTGTAGGTGATAAGTGTACCTGAGGGTGATTTCTTCTTCGACTTTGTCCGCCATTTGACAGACTGGATCAAGAAAGCGAGACCCGCTAAAGATGGTACAGCTGTGAATTTTACTGCACATTTACTGTAGGGTTTACTCTATTCATCTCTCATGTACATTAACAAAACATTACCATGGATATTTTTTTTTTGACATTATTTGGATGTCAGTACCATGATACACTAGTATTTGGTAAGGATTGGTAACATTCTTTAAAGTTTTGAAAGAAGTCTCATGCTCAAGGATGCATCAAGGATGCATTTATTTGATAGTAAAAATAGGGAAAAATGTGATATATTATTATAAATTAAAATATGTGTTTTCTATCTTAATGCACTGGAAAATGTAATTTATTTCTGTGATCAAAGCTGAATTTTCAGCATCATTACTCCAGTCTTCGGTGTCACATGATCTTCAGAAATCATTCTAATATGCTGATTTGCTGCTCAAGAAACTAAAGAAGCAAAAAAAAAAGAAATTTGCTGCTTTTATTTTATTTTATGCAGTGCAGTGCAGTGCAATGCAATGCAATGCAATGCAATGCAAAGGGTAAAAAGTAATGGCTCTAACTCTGATGTTCAGGTATAGTGCCTTCATTGACCTACCAGGTGTTTTTCATGAAGAAGTTGTGGACGACCACCGTTCCAGGCAAAGATTCATTCGCAGACTCCATCTTCCATTATTATCAGGTGAGCTGCATCTATATAGTACATCACGAAACTATGAATGAACCATGGTTAAAACCCTGTACTGTATCAAATACAGCATATCACATGCAGTGCAGTGCAGTGCAGTGCAATGCAATGCAATGCAAAGGGTAAAAAGTAATGGCTCTAACTCTGATGTTCAGGTATAGTGCCTTCATTGACCTACCAGGTGTTTTTCATGAAGAAGTTGTGGACGACCACCGTTCCAGGCAAAGATTCATTCGCAGACTCCATCTTCCATTATTATCAGGTGAGCTGCATCTATATAGTACATCACGAAACTATGAATGAACCATGGTTAAAACCCTGTACTGTATCAAATACAGCATATCACATCAGCCTGTCTTCATAATCTGCATGTGTGTGTGTGTAGGAACTTCCCAAGTATCTGCGTGGATATCATAAATGCTCCAGAGAAGAGGTTTTCCAGCTCGGCGCTCTGATCTACCGGGTCAAATTCGAGGATGACAAATCCCACTTTCCCAGCATTCCCAAGATGCTGAAGGAGCTGATTCCTCAGGACCTGATTCGTCAGCTCTCGCCCGACGACTGGAAAAGGGTTTGTGTCACACGTACAATGATCTCAGCTGTGCGTGTCCTTCACATACTGATCCTTGTAGTAGCATTGACACAGTGTACATCATCTTTATGATCTGCAGTCGATTGTGGCGTACTTCAACAGACATGCTGGGAAATCAAGGGAGGAAGCCAAGCTGATGTTTCTGAAGATCATTTTCAAATGGCCCACGTTTGGCTCTGCCTTCTTTGAAGTGAAGGTACTGTCACTGTGCTATTCGGCAAACTGCCACTTTTCTACTTGCTATTTACGACTGCAGAGTTCTTAAGAGCTCAATTTCATTTTTATGTTTTCTCTGGATGGACCGATCTGTCTTGTTGAATTTTTTTTTTTTTTCATTGATCCCAATGCAGCAAACCACGGAGCCACACTTCCCTGAGATCCTGTTGATAGCCATCAATAAATATGGAGTCAGTCTGATCGACCCCAAGAACAAGGTGAGTTTTCTTTCTTTTTCTTGCTTTTTACTAAAGTTTCGACATGCAACGACCGTATTTTCCTTTTTTTTTTTCATCTGAAATGCACTGCAAATTATATTACAAACCGACTTATATAAGGCAATTAATGTCAAGCACACAAACACATGCATTCGTTTCAGTAGTTTTAGTTTCACTAGTTTTAATACATTTTTTAAAAAATAAATGTATTTATGCTTGGTGTTTATAGTATATGTTGTTTAATGAATGGCATTATAATTTATGTTTGTTTAATACAATTTCTAATTTTTGATTCTTGTTCTGTTTTGAATAATGTTAAATGTAAAGGATTTGTTGTGGAGTGAGGGAAACTAAAATACATGTTTATAGCGTTTCGTTTTATTGTTGCGTATTTTACATTCTTTCTGAATAGTTTTTAAAAATATTTAAAATTAGTTATTTATTTTGCATTTTAATTTTAAAGTTTTAGTAATTTTTTTTTTGTTCTTTTTATTAGTCATTTATTTATTTTTAGTTATTTTAAAATATAAATGAAAATGAGAAATGTTGCTTTGGCAAGTATAGCTGAAATAAAAAAAATTAGGAATAAATCATAATGCATTGCAGTCAAACTCTGTAATTTTATTTTAGTATAATTTATATCATATAGTATTTAATAATATTTTGAATTAATATTTAGCTTTTATTATTATATTTTCATTTTTATTACATGTTTAATTTCAGGCAATGTTTATTTAAAGTATGTTTTATGGTTTTAGTTTTAGTTAACTGTAATAGCCCTGTTCTGAATATACTAATACAATGTTACTTATACATCGACGCGACTTCTCAGCAATGAAATATTGATCCCAGTGTGCAGTGATGTTTGTGTTTTCTCTGTTCTCGATCCACAGGATATTTTAACCACGTATCCCTTCACTAAGATTTCCAACTGGAGCAGCGGGAACACGTACTTCCACATCACTATCGGCAACCTGGTTCAGGGCAGCAAGCTTCTGTGCGAGACGTCACTGGTGAGAGAAAAACTCACTTTCAGCAGGTTTATATGAATGATTTAATGAAAGAAAAATGGCCATTTGTGCATTTACTTCCCTTGTTTCTTCATAACAGGGCTACAAAATGGATGACCTGTTGACGTCCTACATCAGCCAGATGCTGACCACCATGAGCAAGCAGCGGAATTCACGCGGCCACAGCAAGTGAACGTTTGATTGGCGTGAGGCGGCGGAGCTGGTGCGTCTGCTGCGGCCTATTGGTCGGCCGTGCAGCTGGGGGCGGGCCTTCGCGTCCCAGCTGTGGCGAATGAGCCGCACCCCCTCTGCCAGCTCCCAGGGCTCCGTGTGTCCCGATGAAGACTCTTCACCTGCCTCCAGTGAGGATGACTACCTCTGAGCAAAGCTCCTGTCTCCGTCTCTTGTTAGGAAATGGCATGTGAAGAACTGGATTTATGTGTTTTTTGTTGGATGATTTGCTCTAGAATATGTATTACATGTTTTAATGCACAATTTAGATACCATTTACTAAGTTTTGTCAAATTCAGCCGAGTCGATTATGAACTGGAATGGCTTTGCTACATGCATCCTGAAGCATTATTTATGTAGTTAAAAAAGAAAAATACTTGCATGAGTTTCTGGAGGGTTGTGAATGAATCTTTTTAATGGCAGCAAAAAAAGAACTTTTATAATCGTTCAAATGTCAGTTTGTGTTCCATTTGAGAATTCTGTGATTTCAATTTATTTGATTCACTTTTTAAAGTTACACTGCAGGCCTTAATTTAAAATTTTTAATTTTTTTTTAAGACTAGTAACCATTTTTACGTGCATCTTAAAGGAATAGCCTAAAAATGAACATTTTTATGAAAAAGTGTACTCATCCTCACACCGTCCAAGATGTAGATGTTTGTTTAGCACTGAAATTTGAAATTTAGCACTATATCACTTACTCACCAATGGAAGTGAATGGGTGCCGTCAGAATGAGAGTCCAAACAGCTGATAAAAACGTAATTTTTTTGGGTGAACTAGTCCGTTAAAATTGTTACATGATCAACATTCATCTCTTGATCTGCCACTATAACCTCATTTCCGTGAGTCCTGAGTCTATTAAATACATGTTGAAGTGTATTTTGTAAATGAAAGGAAGAAAAAAAGAAAGATACATGGCCTTATTTAAAAAAAAAATAATTGTATTTACATAAAGATGAACCATAGAAACCTGTCAATAACACGTTTAGGTCATATTTCACCCTGAGGAAAAATTCTTTTTGCATAGAGGAAAATGAAACCTGTTTTTGTAGCGTTCATACATCACAGAAGTATTTGTTGCACTGCCTTTAATGTACGATTTAAAAACATTAGAATGTAACAGTGTTTGGAATTGAATTTAATAACAATAATTTAATTAATTGTAAAGGCCATAAAATGTTCAGCTGCACTAGGCCAAATTGAGATCTTAAAAACAGGATTCACATTCTTAATGTACATTTAATCATTTTTTATTGCTTTTTGAAATGATTTTGGGGTGAAATGTGACCTTGACATGTTTCTATGAGAGCAGTAGTTGATAAATAGATATGCTAGATGTCCTTGAAGTTACGTTTTGAATGACTGTTGTCGCTTGTGTATATTGGAGCAGTAGGTTTGCTCTCTTTCTATTAATTCATGGCCTTTATTTGCACCAAATATGTACTTCAACACAATTATTTGACTGACTTACTGTAACATCAGACACCAACCTGAACGCTTGTGTTTTGTGTGCTAATTCATTTAAGAACAAAGTAAGTTCTGACTACTGCTATTTAGCCACTCTTTTATGCAAAGGCACCATATTAGTTAACATTTTATATAAAATGTTCCTGTAAAAAGTGTAACAGTACATCAATGAAAATTAAACGTGTTCAACACATTTTTGTGACGTGATACTGTCATTGTAACATCAAATCTTTTGTGATGATACGTATCGAGGCATATATTGACTCTGCTAAAAATATTTTTATTTAGGCTATTAGATATGATGATATAGAGTAACAAAGAACTTTGATCAGAATATCATCAGTTTACAGACATAAGTTGCATTAAGACAGATTAAGTAATAAAAATCATTCTCGGCATTGCATTTTATACAGGCAGGAATGTTTCAGCATCCCATGGTAAGAGAAACATCTGGAGCAAAAAACATGTATGCAAGCCAGAGCGTGACCGCTGAACATGCAAACACTGCTAATGACGAGGAAAGAGCGTTTGTTCACTTGCAAACGAAGACCTTTAAGCTCATCACATTAATCAGAAACCTTGCATTTAATTAAAGGTTGATTAAAGTGAGCACTTGAAGTTTCCAGCAATCTAAATCTATCAAATCCGGATTGTCTGTTTGGCTTGTTATTGTCTTCCTGATTGTAAATGTTTGTCAATTTTATCACATCATGCAATGGATCTGACATCTTAAATATTTCTCAAACACTCTGGATTAAATCCAGTGTTATAGTTCATTTTACCATGCGTCAGACTGCAGTAATCAGGCTGTTTGCATCTGGGTCTGAAATATGGCAAATTCAGTCTTTAATGATAAAAACTAACTTCACAGAAGCAACAGAAACTGGATGATGGATTCATCTAATGCCACCAATTCTGAAAATAATTGGTCAAATACATTTGATATTTTTTAACAAAATATCACTAACATAACATTTTCAATGAATTACCTCCGAGTACCATGTAAATACCATGGCACATGATTTTCATGGTACTGGCACAGTATAAAAAAAGCATTTCACCCTAGAATAGGAAATAATATATAATAATATTTGGTAACACTTTACAATAAGGTTCCATTTGTTAACATTAGTTAAACTAACAATGAAAAATACTTCTAAAGGATTTATTAATCTTAGTTAATGTTGATTCCAACATTTACTAATACATTATTCAAATCAAAAGTTGTATCTATTAATGTTATTTTATGGACCTGAGACATGGATTAACAACGACCAGCTGTATTTTACTAACGTTAACAAAGATTAATAAATACTGCAACAAATGTATTGCTCATTGTTAATGTTAGTTGATGCATTAAATCTAGTTAACAAATGGAAACTTATTGTAAAGTTACATATGATTTTATTTGATACTATTCTTTAATGTTTTGAGCACATTTTTTCCCCACAAAATTTCATTAATGTAAAAATTTTATAATTTTTTAAGTGGGAAAAAATTGAAGGTTATATATATATATATACACACACACACACATTTTCGGGAAAATGTGCTAAACTCTCAAAACAATGTAGTTGTTTATTTATTCTGTTTTATTTACTTTTTTTTTTTACTTTTAGTTTTGATTTTAGGGATTTAGATTTTTTTCACCATTTAACAGACATACAGTATGTTCCTCCTTGGATCCAAAATATTATATATATATATTGTATATAAAATGTATTTATTTTAAATATATTTCTTATTTGTTTATTTATTTTAGCTGTTTGGCCAATAATAGAGGGCCATTTAATAACTGTGTTCAAAATACATAGTCACGTACTTTTGTCTCCAAGCCTTGTCAAGACTAGACTAAGAAAACGGTCTTTAAAACAAGAATTCTTTCACAATTTGAAGCAGCAACAGCAGAAGCTCAGAGTTTGAAGCTGGAATGCAAATGGACGTGTGATGATGCTGACAGCGGCTCCAGGTCTGCAGGCTTCACTCCCTCCACAGATCTGTGTTGTGTGGCTTTCAGATGGGCGGCTCCTCGCTGATGGTGGGCAGGTTGGGTGTGAGGGGCGAGCTCTGAGTCTCTCCGCGGACGCTGATGCTGGAGATGGACCAGACGTCGCTCAGCTCTGCCGGACGGACAGAGAGAGATGAGAGCGGCTCATAATGAGAGTGATGGAGGGTCAGATGGGGACGGGGAAGCCATGCATAGGGGGAACATGCAGGGGGAGGTCGAGGTCCCGGGACAGTGTCGGCCCGTCAAAGAACAGAGGGTTCCAGCGGATGCCGTGGACCTCTGACGCTTCTACAGCACACAGAGACATGCAAACATGCAAGTGACGGGCTCACAGGACACTAAACAACAAGGGCTTCTGGGATTGTTGACGAAAAATCTGTCACATATAAAATAGTATGTTTATAGACACCGTTTAATAAATAAATAAAATATATTATTTACGATGCCTATAAAGATACAATTAACTAAAACACACACATAAACATACAAAAAAAATTCTCAATGGCTGTGTTCAGAATGGAAAAGTTTATTGCATAATATAATACTGTGTACTATGTTTTACACACCAGTATGTAAAAGTATGCAATAATAAATATTGTATGCCACTACTATGACCTTGTTCCATGTGTTATGTATGCATCCAAGTTATTTTGCATTTTAATTCCAGTTTTGTGAAAAAATCTTATATTTTTGTTGTTCGATCAAATAACTGGTCAATGATTAGATGCTAAAAAGCGTGTTTGGATTGAGCACATTACATCACGAGTGCAGTGTAATCTGTTGTAAACTGCAGATTTGGCAGCAGTAGTGTGACAGTCTGCCATTCTGAAAACAGCCAGCGATCTGGACGACACATGCAGGACGACACGCCAAAAACATGAGCAATGAGCGATTCACAGCCAAACATCAACAACTTACCCGTCCTGAACTTGCTGTACGGTCCGTTCTCATTCACCTGTCTACTGCCCGACCAGAACGGCAAACCTCGCTCACGCCACCTACAGGACGAAACATCACATGCTCAAGCCATCACATTATTACAACAAACAATGTTGCCATGTTTACTTTCTAAGCATTCAATTTGAAAGTTTGAAGGAGAACATTGGACAAGATTAACATGCTTTTGAATAAAATTCTGCACATAAAATATTAGAAAATTCAGATTAACCTAATAAACTATGATTTGGGATTCAATGCAATTGATGCAATTCTAATCATGCATTCTACTTAAATAGGTATTAGATATTACGCAGATTAGATCTGAAAGGTCTTTAGTTTAAAAACTAAACTCTACAGGAGGGTGGCACTGCAGCAGCAGGTTAGTATCTGGTTAGTTGAAGCAGAACTCACCAGTGGAATATGAAAACAGCTGTGATGAGGAAAGCAGAGAGGATATCCGTCAGGATCCACATCAGACTGTATTCATCTGGAGTCTGCGTGAGGAAGAGAGAACCGTGATTGTCTCTTCTGTAGACGTGTGATATTTGTGATCCGGACTCACCATGAGGAACATGGGGCGCTGCAGTTTCTTGAGGATGTGCAGGGCGTTTGTAGTGACTGAATGAACGCCTGCGCACCACGCCAGCGAATATAACCACGGCTGACTGACCACATACAGGTTAGTGCTGACGTTCACAGAGGAGTACTTTCTGAAATCAGAAACACAATCTGGTGAGACATTATTGGGCCGTTAAAGAGACATTATGAAGTTTCACACTTTAATTGCAAAGGCTCTTCTCTGCAATAAGTCGGAATACTTCAATAGAAGACAAAAAGTCTGATATGAAAGTTAATTTGTGTCTTCCAGGTAAAAATGGGGCTTCATTTAACAGTGCCAGTTAAAACACACACACACATACACACACACGTACGTTTGTTTGTGAATTGTGGGGACATTCCATAGGCGTAATGGTTTTTATACTGTACAAACTGTATGTGCTATTGCCCTACACCAACCCTACACCTAAACCTACCCCTTACAGGAAACTTTGTGCATTTTTACTTTCTCATACACACACATATACACACACACATTTATGTTCTAGATTTACACATTTAACATATATGTAATAATATTTGCTTATTTATTATTAATAATTATAAATAATATTTATATTTATAATGTATTAATATATCATATGATATACGTAATATAATAAAAATAATTATGTAATATTTTATTATTATTGTTATTATGAAATAATATCACTGAAATCAAATAATATGCCATTAAAACCTGCCACTTGAAAACAGCTGTGAGCAGACGCAGCAATCACTCGCTATAAATCCAGCAGAGTCAGTGTAGTTTGATTGGAGTGGTAGAGCCGCTCTCTGACGTACCTGATCTGCTCCTGTGACATGTAGCTGTAATGGAGGTTGAGTCGGACGATGTGCTCCTCCTGCAGCTCCTCTAAGGAGGCGTGATCTCCAGACGTCTGCTGCAGCTCCGGGTCCAGCTCCTGCACCAGACTCCTCTGATCGGCCGGCAGCCACAGCACCTACGACAAAACAGGCCAAAAACACCATATCATGCCTCTTCAGCCGCTGATCCAGCTCCTGTTTTACACAACAGTTTAAAATAGGAAGGCATAATGCCACAAGGCTACATGTATATTATATATGTGACCCTGGACCACAAAACCAATCTTAAGGGTCAATTTTTTGAAATTGAGATTTATACGTAATCTGAAATCTGAATAAATAAGCTTTCCGTTGATGTATGGTTTGTTAGGATAGGACAATATTTGTCCGAGATACAACTATTTGAAAATCTGGAATCTGAGGGTGAAAAAAAAATCAAAATATTGAGAAAATCGCCTTTAAAGTTGTCCAAATGAAGTTCTTAGCAATGCATATTACTAATCAAAAATTAAGTTTTGATATAATTACGGTAGGAAATTTACAAAATATCTTCACGGAACATGATCTTTACTTAATATCCTAATGATTTTTGGCATTAAAGAAAAATCAATAATTTTGACCCATACAATGTATTTTTGGCTATTGCTACAAATATACCCCAGCGACTTAAGACTGCTTTTGTGCTCCAGGGTCACATATTATTATTACGGCTAGAAGAAACCGTCAGCATCCAGCTGCTGTTGCTGAACTACCTGGCTGGAGTTAATGGAGGACTCGTTGTGTATGACCTCCAGGGTGCGTGTGATCCACGCGTCTCTGTACGGGTGTCCTCGGGGTGGGCGTCTGAGGTCAAAGATCACCAGCCTCTCATGCTGGGCAGCCAGATTCAGGAACTCCTTCAGGGTGGGTACCGTCTGGTTCTGGACCCGAACCTTCTCGTCTACATCGAGAGAAGAGGCCGTGCTGAAAGGATCCCTCTGAGAGGAAGAAAAGCAAGGATTTGATTTGAGTTTTAGCTGCCAAATTAATAAGGCACGGTTTCTCAAACGGGGGTTCGTAAGTTAATGAAAAGCTAATACAGACTGTAAAATAAAGTAAAATTCGTTGCGATATAGCTTAGTGTGATTATCAAATCAAAGGCTGTCTCAGATCTTTTCGGTTCACAGTAAATTCACTGAACTCCATCTCTGCGAGTTTAACATGCATTTGAGAACACAACTTGCGCTAGGTTTACTTTATTTACACATTCGCATCATTTTTGTGGTCAGACGTTCACAGCATTTCAGCAGAAGGCCATTCCACCAAAATAAAAGACTGAGGATTTCAGTATTTAAAAGAGAAGAATTTTAGACATAAACATACAATTATCAAATATTCATTTTTATTTTACAGTACAATTTTAAATTTAAAATACTAATGTTTCATTTTTATAATTAGTTAAAAATAATAATAAATAAATATTTTACAGTGCAATTATGGTTCACAACAGTAATGTCTTAATTTTTATAATTATAGTTAAAATATTAATTTATATTACTATTATTATTATTTTACAGTAAATTTTAGTGCTGTCAAACGATTAATCGCATCCAAAATAAAAGTTTGTTTACGTAATATAAATTGTTTTATAATAGTAATCATAATAAATATTTTGCAGGCACCCTCTTTAATAAGGCATGCCGTCTGACAAGTTTATTTTATATGGTACATGGTAAAACTCAACTACAATCCACAAGCCTTTTACTTCATCACAGCCCTGAATAACTCTGATTTGAACTGTAAACTGGGAGAGGTTGAGCATCGGCGCAGTCGTACTGTACGTGTTTTAGTAGCAGGAACATGACGCACGCTTCCTCTGGCAAAGCCTAATTCCAGCCAGAATCCTTTAATCCCAAGTGATTCCATGCAAGGATTTCAGAGGGATTCTGAGGTTAATTAAGAGGCCAAGAACCAAAGCATATATGGATGTTCACTGCATTATTTTTATTATAGAACGATGGGTTTTTAGAAACCATAATGGGTCTCTGTTTGTTTCTAATCTGTTTTGAACACCACAAATTTGAGTGATTTCTCTAAAAACACAAGTCCATTCTGTGTGTTCTCTGATAAATGGATTCTATTATGTATAATTATCCTGAGAGAATAATAGGAAAACGCTGGAAAGAACATCAGAACATATTATAATAACCAGCTTTGAAGTAAAACATATATAATCAGTAATAATACTTTCTCTAAAATTAAACAACAAAAACCACCAGTTATTGGACTGCAAATAAAACACGTCAATTAGCCAATAAATTATGAATAAATGCAGTTTTCAGCTTTCTATTTTTGCTAAACTGTGCATTAGAGTACATGGCATTTAATACTGCATTGCACATATTCACAGCAAATTTTACATTAATTATATTATTATTTCATATTATTTATATAAAAAAATATATTAAAAAAATGCAAAATAGCCAAGAAGGAAACTGGATGACACTTGAATGTAGGCGGTATACAGCATATGCTAGCAGTATTCAATAAGCAAGTATTGAATTATGCACATAGCCATCAATATTTTTATATCACTGCTAGTTGATGAACAGGAACCCAAGGTTCTGGATCATTACTTGAAGAAACCAGGATCCAGCGCTGAGCATCTCCAGCTCATCCCAGGTGAACATGGCCGCCGGCGCGTCCGTCCGGTTGGGGAACACCTCATGCACATTGGTCGTCCTCCTCAGGGTGCTGTCATGCATCAGGAACGGGACGCCATCATAACTGCAGAGAGAGAAATATAGTGTGAATATTTAAGCACTCTCAAACAGGATGGCAGCTGTTTCTGCATGCTATGAAATTCAGTTCAGTTTGATTTGTACTTCTAAAAAAATGAAAAATTATTAAGTATTTAATTATAAACAAACGAAACGAAGAAACAAATACAACTCAAAGTACGTTTTTGTATTTGGTTATTTTTGCACTATTTATATGCAATTATAGTTTTCGGTTTTAATTTTTTATGTGCTATTTATATTTCTTTATTTCCATTTCAGTTTTAGTAATTTTAGTACTTTAAGATCAACTCCTTTCATTTCAGTTCGTTGCCAAGGTTTGAAAAATTTGTTTGATTTTTACTTCCAAAATACATATATATAAAACTATTTTATAGTATTTATTAAAAACAAAGCAAACAAACAAGTAAAAATGTTTGTAATGTTCATATACAATTGTATTAACATTTGAATTTTTTCATTATGTGCTTGTCATTTTATGTTTAATATTTATATTCATCTTTATTTTTTATTTCAGTTTTAATAATTTTAGTACTTTAATTTAAGCTTCTTCCAAAATATGAAAAAAAGTTTTGAATTAGTTTTTATTTTGTATTTTCAGTTTTCATTTTCATTTGTGCTTCTGTCATTTTATTAATATTTTGACTATTTATATTTATCTTTATTTCAGTTTCACTTTTAGTAATTTTAGTACTTTAAGTTCTACTTATTTTAATTTATTTAGTTGCCAAGGCAACATGTGTCTCATTTTAATTTTTAAGTTGTTCATCTAATATTTATATTTTATTTCAGCTTTATTTCAATTAACAAAAAATATAATTTTAGTTTCTTTTTTGTTAACAATAACAGCACTGATTTGTATAATCATGGGAAGTATTTCGTGGGCCTTATAAATGTAATTCTCTGTATCTGTTCCACTAATACTGTATATAAAAAAGGTCTAAAATGCTGTGTACTGCTTTCCTATTTTACCCTTACACAGAAAACTTGTTTTTACTTTTTGTTATATTTCATTTAGGTCAACGCATGCAGGAAAATATTCACCCGATTGAACTAATAACCTACATCTGTCACTTTCCAAATGAAAATGTGGTCAAACACATAAAATGAGGTGTTCGCTAATTCTGTCAGCCAGATTAACCCAGTTTCAGTCCACACCTGACACGGATCTATAATTGTGAACGGGGTCAGAGGTTGTTATATCACAAATAATCCATGATTGGGTCAGCAGGTCTCATTCATAAAACGCCAAGCACTTTCTGTAAAACCATTCTTGAGTAAATAGCTGTTTTTTTTTTGTTTTGTTTTTTATTCTCTTGAAACTGGCTGCACAAAATGCATTGGTTTTGTGTAGTGAACACTAAAGATGATGCTCCAGATCCAGCAGGGCTTTCCTGAGAACATGCGCTGATAACAGTGTAGAGTCATCAAACCTGTGTAATACAGGCTGCAAATAGACGGCACGCTCACTCATCTTCATCCATGCTTCCTAGGGAGCTTCCCGCAGCTTCATGCAATCATCTTAACCTGAGAGCAGTGACTCATCAAGGAGCCGTTAGCATCTGCTCTGGGTTACAGCAGACCTTTGTCCAGAGGAAATGACCTGCTGAATGAGCGGCCCATTGACGGTTTAATGGTGCACTTGAAGCGGAAGATCACAGAAATCCACTCATTCACAGAGCAGAGAATGAGAATTCAGGCCGGGGACTTTGTGTACCGTCAACATTAGCTCTGCTGTCTACATAGGCAGCTTTATTTCTAAGGCTGCATCATAATGTTGAATGAAACCGTATAATTGACTGATCTGAAAGACAGGCAGAAACTCAGCACAACACATACAGTATGTGTAGTACACAAGAGAAGCGACTCACAATTGAGTCCAATCATTGTTATTTTAGTATTATTGATATACTGTAGTTTTTTGTTATACTTAGTTTTTGAATTCGATTTCATATTGTTTTCACTTTTATTAGTTAACATTTTAGTAAAATGGCTGTTTGTCTAAAAATAAATAGCTAAAATAAAATACGTTTTGCTTTGTTTCTTTTAGGTTAATATTTCATTTCAACAAATTTTTTTTAAAATAATTTTAGTATTAGTTAACTATAACAACACTGAATCCAATAAAGTTTTGTTTTTTGGCCTTCTATATTTGCAAAAATGTCAATCAGAGACCAAGGCATTGGATACTGTATACGCAATGCATTGCACATATTTACAGTTATTTTGAATGATTTTTTTTCTTGACTTTTTACTTGGTTAAGATTTGATAATTTTATATTAATTATTTTGAATTCATTTATATTCATTTTATTAAAAACAATATAAATAAAATACTTATATTTTATTTCAGTTAACGTTTATTTTATTGCAAGTAACAATTCTTTAAAATAGAATTTTAGTTTTAGTTAATTATAATAACACTGATTCCAACAGAGTTTTCAGTTAGTTGTGAAGATAACATTATGATACTCTAGTAAGCATTAAAAAAAAAATTATATTTAGTTTTTAACCATTTTTACCGATTGGCAGTATCAAATCAACTGTAATTGAATTTCAAATCTAAGTATATTTAGAATTGCCATTTCTCTCACTATTGTGAATAAATTTGGATTGTTTCTTGCAATGTATTCTGGGATTGCATTTCTGTGAAGCATGCTGCCTTAGAAATGGGCCAAAATGAGGTCTCTTATAATATACTATATATATTTGCAGTATACATAACAAAAGTGCTTATTACTTATACATTTATGCATTTGGCAGATGCTTTTCTCCAAAGCAATATACACTGCATTCAAGGTACACATTTCATCAGCTGCATTCTCAGAGAAACAAACCCATGACCACTGGCATTGCAGGCACCAATGGTCTACTGTAGAGCTACAGAAATGCCTTTACTGTGACTATGAAAGAAGCACGTTTCAGTACTTTAAAATGCTTTTATGCAGTACAGCAAGTAGGAATGGATGAAGATGCCCACCTGATTGTGACGTCTGTCTCCAGTCCATCTCCTCCCGCTTCTACAGCCTTCTCAAAGGACATCTGGGTATTTTCTGGTGCAAGCTGTTCAAATCAACAACATCAAACCTGCTGACAACCATTTTGAGTCTTAACCCTTGTAATCGTATTTAAATGTTTAATATTTCCATTAAAGGTCAAACACAAGACGCAAAAAAAATAAATTCAAATTAGAAGGAAACAAAGTCCAGTTTAGTTTTGAAAGTGAAGTCAAGCAGACACTGATTTTAAAGGGCATGCTGACATAAGCCCACATACAATCCATGTGTGTTCAATTAATATTGCACAAATATCATGAGGTAAAAATAGCAGACCATGGGCGCTCCTCTGTGCCCGATGAGGGTGGGCGCTGGCCCCAGTGTGCCCTTCTCTTTGATGCAGGGCGAATACATGCCCAATGGCACCAGATACAGGGCGAAGAGAACCGCCAGGAACAAGCTGAGGATAGCCACCTGCCTCACTGAAACACACACACACACAATACTCAATGAATGTGTGTAAAACCTCAATTAATGAAAGTGTAAAACACATCCAACCATCATAAAAACACATTGCACCTTTATAATTTAGCACATAGGAACGTTAAATGTAAATAGAACATTAGGCAACTATTTCATCAGCTGGTTGTCTTCATTTTAGGAGGGAGACTGTCGTAGCTAGTGGAACTGTTTTGTACACTAATTAGGGAAGGTCTCAATATTGCTGGTGACAATTTTGGAGTCAGTCTAGTGCCACCAACAGTTTAAAGTTTCATATACATTTTAGCTCACATCTTGAACTGAATTCATCTGAACATCTGATTTTCTGTCCAAAAAAAGCTACTTTTTTTTTTTTAAACTTGTACTAGCTTTTACCAAATATACACACATACACACACACAGTATATATATATATAAAAAAAAAGAGAAAAAAAAAAGAAAGGAAAATGTACTGGTCATTTTCTGTCAGGACATTCTGTCCATTCATTTTGCAGATATTTCCATGAACTAAAGCAATCCAATTCAAAATACAGGTAAAACACCTACAAAAAAATCAATACGGAAAATTCCTTCATATTAATACAGTACATTGTGCCCTATTTTTGCAGATTTTTTTGGAGCGTATATATAACTGAAGCTGAGCTTATACAACCATCAGTTTCAAAAGTTTCAGATTTTCAGATCGGTCCAAAATTGGGTCAACATATTCCCCATCATAACCAAATTCACTAAGCCACCCTCTTCATTGCCAATTAGAAAAAAATCATCTCTGCCAAAGCCACAACAATCATTTAGCAGCCTGAACAAACATGAGAATTACAGAAAGATAACCGCGCACTGACAGGCCCAATTAGAAAGCGCAGCAGCCGCTGAGAGCCTGATGCATGTTTATGTCATCTCTACACTGGCACGGCTCATTTCAGCGACAGAGAGAGACGATGTCTTTGTGAGAGAGGGATGCCGGGACAAAGGGCCGGTCTCTGGATGGAGGCGAGCATCACACAGCTGCTGTGAGTTCAACCTCTGTCCTGCATTTGTCTTCCTGCCTCGTTCGTCACGCCTTCATTAAGAGCGGCGAGAGAGAGAGAGACGCAGACGCAGACGTGACTCAGCTGAACATCAGCCAGACGCAGGAGAACAGAACAGGAGCAATGCTTTTCAAGGACAAGTGGTGCATCACAGAGCGATTGGTCTTTATCACACTCTAACAACAGGACAGATGCAACAACTGTGTTAAAAGATAGATTGAATGGATTTGAGTCACTGATACCAACAAAAAGACACCATTTGATGATGTTACTGATGTTACTATATAACCCAGCTATATAACCTACACGGACATCGTTGTTTTTGTTTACAAGCCAAGTTTCCAGAACACATTTGGCATATATTTAGCTTTGAAGTTATTTGAAAGATGTTTGTGTTGTTGTAATATCATGCATAAAATGCCCCGTTTTATCTAGTGTTGCTAACTAAACTAAAACAATAAAAAATCGATAAAAAATTTTTTTTGTTAACTGAAATAAAGCTAAAATAAAATTTAAAAAATAAATATTAGATGGCCTTGGCAACTAACTGAAATAAAATAAGTTTAAGCTGAATTACTGAAACTACAACACTCTAAAAAAAGATCCAAAAACAGGACCCCATGTGCTGTGTTAATACAAATAAATTTTCCGTATTGATTTTTCACAGGTGTTTTGCCTGTATTTTGAATTAATCAGCATTATTTTGTGTTGTAGGGCAGGGTTATTATCATTAAATAACAGTTATTATCATTTCTAAACAAAATAAATGTAAAAATGAAATAAAATAAAATTTTTAAAAGTTTAGTTATTTTATTTTAGCTAGTTGCCAAGGCAACATTTCTCATTTTCAATTATTCTGAAGTATTAAAATAACCAAAACTAAATAAAACTAATAAATAAAATTTTATAACATATATACAGACATTTAAAAAAACTAATAAAAATGATCAAATTAAAATCTAATTGAAAACAACAAAACTATAATAGTACATCAATAAAAAAAAAAAAACTAAAAAAAAAACTGTATTTTGCAATAAAGGAAATGTCCATAAACATATAGGATATAATGTCCTGGCAGAAAATTACTAGAACCTTTTCTGTTTTTCTATGGATTATTTTTTTAAAAGTGTAAAACTAAAGCTAAATAGAAAACAAATCTAATAAAAATTATAAATCACTAAAATGTAAATGAAAACTGAAATATATATATAAAAAAATCTAAATATTAAATTCAAATTATTTTGAAAAAAAGTGGAAAAACTGCACCTATTTATTTATGTATTTTTTCAAATAAGAAATTAAAGTTAGCAAAATGCCTGATACCGCTTGCAACACTTTTAAATATACAGATGTGGAAAATACAGTTGTTTGAGTTTTCTGTTTGGTTCTGTCAATTAAATGCAAGTGGCACTGCGACATGCTGTGCAATATTGGACGATTATAACGGTAGCAATCTAGTTTTGTCACATCAATTTAGAAAGAACAAGCTTTTTTAAGCCTCATAATCACAACATAATCACAACCACTGGCTCCTGACGTCAGGGGTACCTGGTACGAGACTAGTAGGTGCAGAGCCCATTTTTCAGCCCAGAACCACCTTTCTTGGTGAAAACAACTAGATCTGTGCTGGCTGAAATAGGATATAACCAGAATCACAATGTGTTTTCATTTGTTGCCAGCAGCGAACAGGATCACGTACCTCTCTTGTTCATGCGAAAGAAGTGTAAGGCTATTGGCCAGGACAGAAGTGTCATTAGTGAAACTCCGCCCACGTGAAGAAAGGGTGCTGTGACCTGCTCGACAAAAATGGAAACACATAAATGCATTACAGGAATTGTACTTGACGTAAAGCTGCTCAGAAAGCTGCAATGACTTTCTGTGTCGGGACGCATAACCCACCTGAAAAGAAAGGAGCAGCGTCGTCCATTCTTTGCTCCATAAGTCAGAAAGCACAGCTGTGGCACTGATAGAGAAGGTGAGAGTCACCAGGATCCCAATCTGTGCAAAATACAGAATATAGCAGTGCTGCATTTTAGCATCACTGAGAAACTATATTTTTTATTTTGAATTAGTTTCATGTTTACATTTTCTGTTTTTACATTAATTCTCGTTAAAAGTAAGTCAAAGGGACACACTTAATAAATAAAAAAATCAGAAAATATTTTTCAAATATTTTAGACAAAAACTACACTGAATACATGACATTTTTCTTTCAATAAGAGCAAAATTATTTTTTTTTATATAAAGCATTCAAAAATAACGGTTGAAAAATATTGAAAGTTAAAATGTACACTATGTTCTTTTTAGGTTTCTCTAGTAATTTTGTTGTGTGTTTTTGTTATTTTTATTATTTTTTATTTTGTAATATTTCTATTTATAGGTTTTATTCATTTTCATTTTTAGTTATTTTATTACATCAAGATGTTTATAAAATAAAAATGAGAAACGTTGCCAAGGCAACTAGCTGAAATAAAATTAGTTTTATATATTGTTATTATTTAGATAATGTTTAATGTATAATGTTTAAACAGTTAATGTTTATTAGTTTTTTGTTTTTTTTTGGTTTAGTTAACCATAACAATCCTGCAGTGTTGTTATTGTTAACTAAAACTAAACTATTAAAAACTATTTATTAAATGAAATACAAAAACATTAGAACTTAAATTAAACTTAAATTTAAAAAATGTCTTGGCAACAAACTAGAAGTACTAAAATGACTCAAAATAAAACTGAAATAAACAAAAACACTAAATAGAAATACTTAAAAAAAAAAAAAACTAATAAAAATGAAAAAAGCAAATAACAAAATTACTAAAATGAACCTAAAATAACAATAATGTATTGTTTTTCTTTTTTTTTTTAAATAAAATTTTTTTTTATAGCACAACAAAATGTTTCTGAATTGGCTAATGTTGGAGCCTAAAACCACTAAATCAACATTTGTGTTAGAAGGGGGAAAAAACATTTCTATTAATTACAGCAGCCCCAAAAATACAGTTAAAATGGCATATTTTTAGCTAAGCTCTCTTCAGTATTAAAAACTTGTTTCATAAAATTATTCATTGTAGGTTCAACACAATCTGTGAATCACATGAAGCTGTTTCTCTGGTAACACAGATATGGAATGAATACAAATGTGCGAGACGAGGCGTCGACAGCAGGATGAATGATGAGGAGACGGTTTCTTTGATCACCTTGTGGCTCCAGTGGATGTAAAGCCTCTGTCCTTCAGAGAGAAGGCACACCGCTAGGACCTGCACAACATCAACACCACAACATTATCATCAGGAGAAGCTGATGCTGAAACGCTTTGCTGCTGTTCACCGTTCTCACCAGCAGGAGGGCGATGTAGGTGAAGAGAGCGGCGGCGACCACCAACAACACCACCGACCACGGGAACCAGAAGCCCAGGTTCCCGAAGTTAAACCTGCGGAAATAAACAACAGATTTTAAGAAATAGATCTTAATGGATTTTTGCTTGAGAAAATCTAATCAATTAATTAATCCATCCAACCAAGGGACTGGAGCTTTTTGTATCTGAACTAGTGCTGGGCGGTATACCGGTTCATACCAAATACCGGTGTTTATTTTATATATCAAATCAATCAAGTAATGTAATTAAATAATTAACAACCCACAGGGACAAACAAAAAAAAAATCTGAAAATTTTAAAAAATATATTGTAGACAAACTACAGTGAATGCATGACATTTTATTTATATAATACAATTATTTTATATAACCCCTTCAAATTTAATGGAGATGAATAGGGACATGCAAATTCCTGATATTCTGATTTCTGAAAAATATATATAAAATGAACAGTATTTTTTTGTTGTTGTTGTCATTTTTCTATGCCTTGTATAATCAAATTAACTAAATAATGTAATTATATAATTAATAAGCCATAGGGACACACAAAATAGAAAGAAAAGAAAATATTGTAAATTTTGTTTAGACAAAAGCTATAGTGAATGCATGCAATTTTACTTTGAATAAGAGTAAAATGAATTTTTTCAAGTTCATATAACTCATTCAAATGTATAGGGATATGCAAATTCCGAATTTGTCTGATGTTTTTATATGCCTTACATATCAAATCAATCAATGTAATTATATAATTAATAAGCTATATGGACACACAAATGGCACAGTTTTCCATGAATGACACATCAGTCTAATTGCATGTCAATCCATCTGTCTGTCCATCCCGAGACACTCACCAGTCAAAGTCGTTGTAGTCATTCTGCGCCTCACTCCAGAAGTACAGGAATATCAGGGTCAGGATAAACGTTACGATGAGGAGAGCAAAACAACTGCACTCCAGCTGCAAAACAGAGCCATCATGAGCCGTGAGAACACCCACACCTCCATGCAATTACTCAACACAGCGGACGGAGTGTGAAAATACAAGAGGAGGATGAAACAGAGGCGACACTTGAGGGTAATACTAACTTTGCAATTCAAATAGTTGATTTGGAGCTGGCTCAGCATGCTGCAATCATACAGTGAGTCATCAGGCCGCTTCTAAATGACTCAATGAATGATGCTCACACTGCAAACCTCCGAACTCACGCCTAACACTCAGATGAGTCGCTCCAAGGGGAGCTTGTTTATCGGCACTGAAAACAGCTCGATTTAGAAAGCAGCCCATCAGAAGATGAAGAGCTGCGCTCGCGGTGTTAAAGAAAACTCATCAGCACATACGGGAAAAATGCTCTGATAGTGCTTTCTATTGAGCAGCATGAGTGGCTTCAGCAGAAATTCTGGTTAAGGGGAAAATATTCACAGATTTAGATGAAACAAGCCCCTTGAGAGAGACCAATATGTTGGTACTTCATACATGTGGTGTACTTTATACCAGCATGCGCTGAGTTTATTCATCTTGATGTAATTGCAATATATCAATATCGAATTAAACATTAGATTTGCATTTACTGAAGTAAGTTCCAGTATTTTCAAGGTAGCATAGGAATAGACAGCCAAGGTCATGGGTTTGTTTCTCAGGGAATGCATGAAATTATTAAATGCATGCTTTGAATGGAATGGAATGGAATTTGCTTTAGATAAAAGAGTGTGCTGTAATACATAAATACAAAATGTCTTTGAACTACATGGTGATTTTTTGCTAAATGAATAAAATGTAACAGGGATTAATAGTGCAGTGACAAATGATAAAGAAAAATCACAAAATCCAGTGAAAATATTTTTGAATTTGAATGCCATTAGTATTATATATATAGTAGTTATATATATATATACACACACACATATATACACACACACACATATATATACACACACACACACACACACACACACATATATATATATAATTTCTATTCATATTTTGAATTAGTTTTTATTTTTATATTTTCAGTTTTCATTTTAATTTTAGTTTAAGATTTTAATTTAGTTTTTTTTTTTTTTAAATCACTATTTAGGTTTAATTAATTTTCATTTCAGTTGTAGTTTTTATTTATTTCCAGTTAGTAATGTTAGCACTTCAATTTAAAAGATTTAATTTAGTTGGCATGCCAAAATATCTCATTTGTGTGTAGTAAGTTTTTTAGTAAATAATTATGTTTTAATTCTATGGAAGATTGTTTCCATCACTGGATAAAAAAAAAAATCAGAAAGGTAATTGCAACTTTTTTTTCCTCACAGTTCTGAGTTTATATCTCACAGATCAGACTTTTTTCTGGCAATTCTGAGATACTGCAAGATATAAAGTCAGAAGTATGCGCTATAAACACCCAATTAAGAGGAAAAAAGTCCGTTATTTCCATGGCAGAAACAAAAAAAAAACAATTGTGAGATGTAAACTCATAATTGCAAGAAAAAAAAAGTCATAATTGTGATATAAAAAGTCGCAATTACCTTATTAATTGTTTTTAATTGTGGTGGAAAAAGGCTTAAATAACAAATTAATAGTAAAGGTTTTTTTTTTTTATAGTTTTAGTTTACAATAATAACCCTGAAAAAACAACTGAAATAGCACTCTTTATGTGGAGCATCTCTCAATAAATGTTATGACTGATGCGTATTGCTAAAATAAAGTTACGATAATCTACTAAGCATAAAAATACATAGCACACAGAAATATTAGGGAAAAAAATAGTCATTTTTCTTATTTTGACTCAATTTTTCTTATTGATACGGTTTATTATTTTATGAAATGTTATATTTTTGCCTCCGTCCACCTTCTACTGAATTCGTTGCAATGCATACTGGGATTTCTTGAACTGTAACCAAAATAAGGAATGTTATAAAGCCCAGAGCCAGAAGCATGCTGTGCTATGATGCTTAAACATGCTGTCTATGTAGACCGTAGGGCTGTCAAATTTTTTTTTCGAATTTCGAATAATCGTCGAATTTAAAATAAAAATCCACATTCGAATGCAAATATGTTGCATTCGAATTTTAGGTGTGCGTCAGGCAGCCTTATCAGTGGCGCATGAGATGTGACGACGATGTAATTGTCATTGCATTTTAATGCTTTTGTTAGCCTATCCAGTTGAACTCACTAGATGCTGCGCTGCTACGTTGTTCATTCAAAATATTGCAGAAAAAGAGAACAAGCAAGATGTTGTTTACGTCAAAACTGAAACCAAGCCGTTCACACAGAACACATATTTATCACATTTTCTAGAGGGACATCTATCACCGCTGCACTCGCGTCTCGCACAAGAGAGCCGCATGTTTAGAAAACTATGTAAAATTAATGTAAGTTCAACTTTTAAAAAACATGTCTCGAGACTTTATGGCGGTTTTCCCTATTCCACTGCATTCTTAAGTTTTTAAATGTAGAAAGTACTCTTTGTGATTGGTTTTCGGTCCTTTGTATTAAACTATACATACATGCATGATGTGGTTTTGTTTTTAATTGTTTAAGCAACTTTATTAATAGGGATGCACCGATACCGATACTGGTATCGGTATCGGGCCCGATACTGGTCTCCTGTACTCGTACTCGTACTCGTTAAAATGCCCCGATACATACCGCCGATACCACAGCATGTGATAACTGTATCTATTTGATAAATGAAGTTAACCAACTAACATTATACATACTCTTTTGGTTTCTGTACCCAATATTTAAAAAATGTACAAATGCAATAAAAATATTGGTATCGGTACTCGGTATCGGCAAGTACCAAAAATAAAAGTATCGGTATCGGGCGAGTACTGGAAAAAGTGGTATCGGTGCATCCCTATTTATTAATTATATATGGTTTACAAACATTATTATTATGTTATTGTTATTTTATTATGCTTTGAAGAAACATGCATAATATTTTGCTCGATGCGCCCTCTTGTGGCCTCAAGAGAGAAGCCAAAAGCTTTTTTTCATCCTAACTGAAATTATGTCTTTTAAATTCGAATATTGATAATATTTAAGTAAAAAATTCTAATTTAGTTTTTCAGCCAATTTGACAGCCCTAGTAGACATCTCACTATGTTTTGGAACAAAAATTGCATGTAAACCATTGCCGCTGCATTTACTTCAGATAAGAATAAGGAAGAGTGTCAAAAGCAATATGAGGGATTTTAAGCACTGTAATAATCATGTTTTCTCACCCGACTACAGCAGCATTCCCCCGGCTGGGCTTTGGCGCGCTGGTAGCGTCTCCACTGGCAGCCGTACAGGCCGGCCAGACAAGAGACAAACGGCTGGTGCTCATAGCGCTGCAGCAGCTGCCGCCTCACCACCTTTAGCTTCCCCAGCTTCAGTCTGGACAGGCTCACCGGAGAGCGGCCCAATGATCAGCCAGTCCCCTGCATGGAGCAGCCCGGAGCAGACGGATGGACAGGAACCGGAGGAGGCAGATCAGGATCAGAGGTGGAGGAGATCTACCAGAGACAAAGAGAGAGAGGTTGTGTTAACGCCTGCTGGGGAAGAGTCTTTCTTCTATTACACTGAACTCTATGGAGTGACGCATCAAGCTACAGCGAGAGAAAAATGATCTTAATTATTTTGGGTCACCTCTACTGCATCGTGTTTCTTGACAGAATGAGGCCTGTTTACAAAAGACCCTTCAACAAACAATGCTCGTGACACAAAAAAACTGCAATCCTATAGGGGCCTCCCCTGGGCCCCTGCGCTGTCAGCACACTCAAATCACAGATGGAGGCTGTTTACACACCAAAAACACAGTGGGGACAGAAAACTTGCTAAATAGTATAATATTATACTGTATATAACATATCTAATAATAAATCTCTACATACTAAAATCTAGAGATGAATGTGAGCTATTGCCAGAGCTATAATGTTATGGCGAGTTGCTTAGCAACAAACAACCAATCAGAAACTAAACAATGTTTCCCTTATTAAATATTCATGAGATTTGTATAGTAACAGAAACATTTTTAAAACAGGTTGTGTACTTGTTGCATGTTGTACTTGTCCGATCAATATTATGAATGTCGTAAACATGCAAATAAGCACGTTAATACAGGGTTTAGAAATGTACACTACTGTTTAAGAAATTAATAATACTAATAATAATTAGGAAACTGATGCAAATGATGCATTCAATTTATCAAAAGTGACAGTAAAAATGTCTATTCCAAATAAATGCTGTTCTTTTAAAGCTTTCTGGTCATCAAAGAATCCCCAAAAAATATTGTATCATGGTTTCCGCAATCATATTAAGCAACAAACTGTTTTCAACATTGATAATAATCAGAAATGTTTCTCGAGCAGCAAATCAGCATATTAGAATGATTTCTGAAGATCATGTGACACTGAAGACTGGAGTAATGATGCTGAAAATTCAGTTTTACATCGGAGGAATAAATTACATTTTACAATGCATTCAAATAGAAAACAGTTATTTTAAACTGTAAAAATATTTAACATTTTTTAATTAAATAAAAACAGCCTTGGATAAGCATGAGACTTCTTCTTGAATTCTTGAACAATATAACCCAAGATTAACAATTTCAAGTAAGAAAAGCACACCGCAAAATTTATTTTGAACTAAATACTAAGTTATTCACCCATTTACTGTTGCTCATCCATTTGCATCTCTTGTTCAGAAGCTGCACATTTGCTAGACTCCCAGATATGGACTGGACTGTTCATCATCTTTGTCCCAGACTGTGTGGTCTGATCTGTGCGGGGAATTCTGCTGAGAATAATGTCTGACCCGTCACTGATCTTCAGACAGACACATCAGAGCCTCCCCTCACAGAGCAGCTAAACCGGTTAGCACGGATTAGAGTAAAAACAGGAGAGATGTTATCCAGAACACTCACTGCTCAAGTTCACTCATGACAAGTCAGATTAATACTGATAAACTCCAGCACTACTAAATCGGTTTTATTCGGAGTGAGTCAGAACAGCATCTTGACCTTGTTTTCATGTGACACCTCATTCTTTCAGTAAGCAGTGTACAGTTTGACCGGCTCCTCATTCATGAGCACACAGTCAAAGTGGCAAGTGTTCACGATCAATAATGAGATCACAGAACAGCATGTTTCGTTCCACTGGGATGCCGTGGTGGGTTCAGTGTACAAAACACGTCTGAGCATCTGTCTGTGGCCTTTAAGGTTTAATGATCAGCGGAGCGAGAGACATCCTTGAGGTCGTGTTGTAGTTCGATGTCGAGGATGACTTTAATGAGAATACCTGCACTTAAGCCCCGCCCTGACCGGCTGTTGTCATGGCGACTGTCTGAAACCTGGCAGAGTTGATCTATCAAACTAACAAGAGACATTTATTCCCAGTTTTACTGCAAGTCCCCCCCCCAAAAAACGTCTTGCTTTGCAGTTAAAATGTGTCAACAAGATAAAAAAAGATCAATTTAACTGAGACACAATGTTGCATGAAATCTTAAGACATCTATTATAACAAAACATGTTTATAGATAATCAAGAAACTAAATATTTCTTACAAAGACAAATTACTTGTTGCATCACATCTTAAGGAATAAAAGATTACTAGTCATTCACTTTTATGCACGTCAGGCATAATTTTCTGAATGGTAAAATATGATGTTGTAAGATATCCATAATACAGATAACAGAGGAAACTGAGTTTTGCATGGTGGGTCGCACAACAAAACATACTGAATAAAAGCCAAAGATGTCACATGCTGACTGAAATCAAATCTGTTCTCAGCCGGAAGAATATGACTCTGTGTAGTTAATGCTGCTCAATGTGAAAGCACGCACGTGAAGGAGATTTACCGCTGATTACAGAACAGGCTTTCTGACAAGATACGCGTTAAATATCGCATGCGATTTATCGTGCAGCCCTAATTATAACAAAACATGTTTATAGATAATCAAGAAACAAAATATTTCTTACAAAGACAAATTCCTTGTTGCATCACATCTTAAAGAATAAAAGATTCCTAGTCATTCACTTTTATGCGCGTCAGGCATAATTTTCTGAATGGTAAAATATGATGTTGTAAGATATCCATAATACAGATAACAGAGGAAACTGAGTTTTGCATGGTGGGTCGCACAACAAAACATACTGAATAAAAGCCAAAGATGTCACATGCTGACTGAAATCAAATCTGTTCTCAGCCGGAAGAATATGACGTAACATTATAAAAACATTGTTGTTTGACTGACAGATATTGCCAGCACGCACTGATTAACTCAAACAGCAGTCTGTGAACGGCTGCACATTTGAAAACACAATTACAGGCTACTGCAAAAATAAAAACAGTGATGTAGTACTTGTGTTTTTAATGTTTTTTAATATTTTATATACTTTTTAAAGTTTTATTCTATAGTAAAAAATATTATATCATTATTATACAGTATATAATATTATTTTTTACTTTATATGAAATAAAAACACTACAGTTATAATCACAATAATAATATTTGCTATATTTTTATTCTACTGTACAATTTTATAAAATACATATTCTTTATAAAAATATAAAATATAAAAAAATAAATAATAGCATTTTAATGTAATATGCTTTTTGCACTATATATTAAAACCTCTGACACAGAGAAGAAGACACTGTTAAGTTTGTTATCTGAACTTTTTCATGGGCGCAGCCTATTGCGAATTTCTGGACTTGAACACAAAGACTTATAGACTGTCATGAGGTTAAACAGTGTTTAGATCAGCCCCTCCTGTCTTCTCATTATCTCATGGAAGATCATGTCAACTTAACTGCGACCCAGAATGCACAGCACCTCACATAATGCCAATTTCCTCATTACAATGAGTTTCAGAGACATATGAAACTACACACTTGTGTCAAAATCCTTTTGAAAGTGTTCATTTGGAAATATCATCTTTGTTACGCCCTTTGACCTAGAAATATACCACGATGGCACAATAAAACATTTTCCTCGCCTATCTATCTAGCATGCAAAATAGCTTCAGCTGAAATGACACAGTAAAACTGCCATAATGCAATAAAACAACACACAACTGATTTCACAACTTTAGGCCTCCCTAATGGAAATGCTATTGGGTTTTGTGTATGAGGCCGCAAGTCTTTAACATCGAATGACTTCGGGAGATTGTGGCGTAGAGTAAAAGCATTCTCACGCGCTGTCGCAGCAGAGAGAGGCTGTGCTTCATGCTCGCCGAGGCACAACGCTTTGTTTAGACACAAATAAACAATGCACACTAATAATGGCCGCTGTTAGCAGCAGCAGGACTATTGTTCATTCTTGCCCTTTAATCACTCCATGCACTCTGTGTCTCTCTCTCCACATTCAGTTCAATAAAACACTTTACTGACAAGACACTGGAGAAAAGCACTACCAGATTTTATAGAGTTGCGTTTTCTAATATTATGATTTATTTAATGTAGTTTTATTTATTTCATTCACAGCAATTCACATTGCATTCAAGGTATATGATGGTGCTATGGCCAGGGCTCGGGAGTAACGAAATACATGTAACGGCGTTACGTATTTAAAATACAAAATATGAGTAACTAGGGCTGCACGATTAATCAAATGCGATTGTCATGCGCATTTTGTTAAAAAACCCGGTTCTGTAATCAGCAGGAAATCATCATCACGTGCTTTCAGATGGAGCAGCATTTACTACACATAGCCGTAGTTCACTGACAAGTTACGCAAAAAAATCGCAGACGATTTTATTGCGCGATTATGAAATCGAAGAAATCGTTCGCGATAATGACAGCTGTTTGCATAGCTTCTCAGTGAACTACGGCTCTGTGAAGTAAATGCTGCTCCATCTGAAAGCATGTGAAAATACCACATTTAATGAATTCACACTTTGCATTCAGTTAACAGATCCATACGAATCATGCATGAAATAAAAGTTTATAAAGTCAAACGATAGCTTTGTGTGCTTTACAGATGAACTTGAAGTCTTTATTCATTCGAAATGTTCAAGAATAGATGATCTTTGGCGCGGTAATGCGAGTTCATGATCCTATTCGTGAACAGATGATTATTTTGATTCAATCTTTTAAATTAATCATTTATTTTGTTTAACGAAACCAGTGTGGATGGTTCACATTAAACGGGATAGATCTGGGGTGTGTGAAGTAATCACTTAAAGTTTGGTCCATTCATTAAACAAAACTATTGTATAACTTGGATAACTGTGCCAGTTGTTTTGGCTACTTTTATGATATGTTTGGTGTGTTTGGATTCATTTTGAAGCTTGGAATGCAGCATGAAACAGCACAGAATCCCATTAATTGTATTAAAATTGAATTTATATTGATTGGTAGATTTAAATGACACAATTGTTTTTTGTTGCTCATAGAAATGCTGTGGAAAACTGATGTTGTTAAA